GTTTGCATGCTGCTGTTATGTTCCATTTAATTTTTTGACCCTTCTATTTAAATGATGACCGAGTCGTGTTTCTCTATCTAGGCACTCGCCCTGCACGAATCCGCGTTACCCTAACAGCGACTACAATTGGTGGAAAACGTCGATTTCTGTTATGAGATGTAACGATTCGACGCGACACGGAGATGATACAGATGGTAGCAGAAGCACCGATAGCGATGCGACCCGATCACAATGCATCAAACAGATACAAGAAGAACCCGAACGCAACATTACAGAGAGAACGGACGGTCGAGCAATTGAACAAGCTTACGATATTCGTTGGTGTCCTTCTGCGACCATCGATGAAGCTGTTGGGCGATCAGGATTTGATGGCGAGCCTGGGTCCCGTCAGCGGCCTTCTTTGTGTTTAGGGCCTTCCACCTAGTATCATTACTACAACTCAGCCAATCTGGCATCACGAGGTTGAACAGCGAGAGATTTTTGCCTTCAGTCGCTCAATGAGAATTTTGTGCCTTTCCATACCTGCCCATGTTGCATAGAGACGCACTTTTTAATCGGATTGAGTCAGTCAGCTAAACTCGAGAACTATCTTCTCTGCCATTATACACAAACGCAGCATTCAGTTGCTGGACCAATGGCTTTATCTGTCTACCTAGGCTTTTCTCGGGATTTTTCTACAATGACGATATTAGCACGAGCCTGTGTTGAAAGTCCATCGTGCACACCTCGCACCGACACCTCTACTATGGCGACGAATCGTTCAGGACATTTCTGCATCTTTTGATCCTCTTCGCGTGACGACAACGGTGACGAAATGCAAGGCAGCGTATGTGTAATTGAAGACAACCGTGATCTGCTTGAGCATTAACAACTGCCCGTTTCAGTAAAATCAGATGAACATATTACTTAATGCTAATTTTTAATGACTTTCTAATCTTTAATAGTTTGGCAATCTCACCGTGTATATGCTACCGACCTGGGTAAGTTTCATTCATCCGAATAGAACCGACCTGTCCCATCGCGACGTCAGTCTGTCGCTGTTTAACTGACTAGGTCATATAGTAGATCTGAGCTAGGTTGCAGATCGGTCAATTGTAGACATATTCAGTTATTGTAATTCGTGGTTCCGAGTCCCGATACGTAGTTCCACGTTCGTTTCTCCAATGCAATTAGCACTTGTCAATTTCCGTGTCACAAGATGGCGTCGTCGTTAGTATGGCCCTCTCCAGAAACACAAACAACAATATCCTTTAATGTTGTTAAATAACAATGTCGTACGCAAAAAGAACAACTAGTGATGCTTAATGTTCTAATGTGAAATTTTCCACAGTCGTCCCCAAAACATTACCACAATCAACATGGCGGCGCGATGTTAATAAATCGCTATGGAAAAATACGCCTTTGAGGAATATTCAGTAAATATGAAATGCGGCAACAAAGGCTCGGATCAGAACAGCAGCAAGCTCATGGTAAACGTGGCCTATTAGAAATATTCTAGATCGACCTCTGAATCAGTTGGTATCATAGTGGTTTGTCACTGATTCAACTAATCCCATGATTAGTTTACGCTGTAGTCAGTTTATCGTAACATATAGTCCGTCCCTGTAATTGTTTCATCAGCCCATTATTACTAGGTTTAGTAACTGGTAACTAGAACTCGATTTGTGTTGTATCGTTTGTCAAATAAATCCAGTGATCCCAGCGAAAGTGTCTGATTCTGCTGCTGCAGTGATCCTTTTGTGGTCATTTCTTCTATTGGAAGGCCCGAATAACCTCGTCACTTTGCTACTATTAGTTCACACGTGCCGACCCCTAATCTGTTTTCATAGCGTATATATATATAGTACTGCAACAGGTGACAAATTCTCATTTCAAAATTACCAATACAACCCTGAAGAAATTTAACTTCGCTTCTATAGGAATAGATAACCTCTGGCCTTGCACACCTACCCGGTGCGCAGATTGACACCTTGCCGTGTTACGACTTCATTTCGTTATCTCATTAAAACGCTTCTATAATCTGGGCACCGAACTACAGTTATCAACAAGTTTCCCGATTACAATGAATCTGTTATTTTCAATCACTTCTGCACACGAAACACTATCTTATTATGGAATAACATAGAATAAAATATATTTTTATAATTTTTTTTTTGCAAGGCTCAAGAAACGTATCTATCGTCCAAAAAAATGTCAAAAATTGGCAGGAAGATAGCGGTGAAAAGACTTATTCAATCCATCATTCACTTTTATCACGCAGTCTAGCAGCCCGCAAAGGGTTCAGCGCAGAGTGACCACTTTAAGCAAACATAAACTCTCCATACATACAGGTCATCAGTTTGTCTTGTGGATAGAATATTGAAGCATCAAAAACTTCATTGGATAGTTGCACGAAACAGTGCTTAGTGATACGATTATAGGAACAAGCAACAGCAGCAATGCATCTGGATTACCTTATATTCGCTCCAAAGCCAACTCGCGCTGGAATAACGCTCAACATTCAATACGTCAAAAAAACAGTTGACAGATACGTCTCTGTACGTAACAAGTATTTCTCCGATCTGTCTGTGCTATCCGATTCATTCGTTAGACAATAATAACATTTTACAATGCTTATTTCTTTGCTATGCTGATCAGATCCAGTGCGCCGCCACAAATCGTTCGAACGGCACTAACGCGTGTGCCTAACAGATTCAGAGATTCACAGCGGTTTTGGTTTGAATCCAGGAGGAGATACACCCCGCATCGTACTCATAGCTAGCTGGTCATCCGAGCGAGTGCCTAACAAGTTAAGTATCGAACATGATACTGATCCATTTATTTATCGAAAAAATACTCATCGTTATAAATACATGGCCCAGATAATATGAATCAAATGAAAGCTAAGATTCGATAGTATTTAGTATGAACATTGTTGAAATAATTTTATTTAGATTTAAGACTGGGCGCCTTGAAGATGTGTGTAAACTTCTGCAAGATTCACAAGTTTACTATGTCGCCCAGGCCCATAAGTAAATGTATGCCGTTTGTGGCCAAGATCCGTTATTGGAAAAAAAAGAGTCACATATGATGACGATCAGTGATTATGTTGTTATTAGAAAAATGGTAGCGAGAAATCAGTTAAAACAGTTTACTATCGTATTTGGTGTAGCAATACTATTGTAAAATTAAGAATAAATATTTGCTTTATAAACACTTTTACGACAGCCCAATATGATGTTATCAGAAGACATTTGATCGGTGTTACGAAGTCGATGACTGGGGACGAAAATATTTGAACGATTTCACGATTTGTAAAAAACATCGATGGTTACGCGAACAAAAAATATTGCGATTTTTTAATTACTATTATTTCTAGGGGAGAGAGATATAGTTATGCGTCTTCTCCAATTTTTTTTGGGTATTCAGTCATTACTATAGTCGCTTTTGTTCCCCAGCGTCACGTGCACTGCTTTGTGTATATGTGCGTGTGTGTGTGTGTGCGTGTGTGTGTGTGTGTGTGTTGTGTGTGTGTGTGGCCGTGGGGGGGGTTCGGTAACAAGCACTAGTAATCTTAACCAAAATACACTAATAATTATCATTCAATCTATTCGTGTGATATTCAAATGTTTTTTCCTTAAATATTCTATCTTTTATATATTGTTTATCTAAACACGTTTCCTTGATGAGACTATCCCTGCAAAGCTATATTTTTACAAATACCATAACAATTTCAGATTCTGCCAGCGTTTGCGTTCGGAGCAGCACCGGTAGCGCCATCTGGCAAGCAATGCCGCAAACAGGTCTTATATTGAACAAATAAAACAGCTGTTCAAAAAAAACCGCCGCTAGATCCTAGATAAATATTTTACTAAAATTCTCCATTGACATTTGTTTCTTTAACAACGAATAATAATTTGCTAACGAATATTCTGTTTTAGACTACTAGGCTACTTAATGTGGTGCGTGTTCTTGCGATATTACGATTGTTCAACAACTGTTCTCATAAAGGGAAAACATGAAAAAGAACGGGCCTTGGGAACACATATTGAAGACTGTAAAAAGTTTCTGCAATTTATTTTACATTCTTCCTTTACCCTGTACCAAAATATAGTAGATTTTTGCATTAGCTAAACACCATATTTTTGATCTGGAAATATTTTTCTGTGCGATTATTATCGCTAGCTTGTGAAAATAAGTTTTGTTTTCTAGCATCTTCAATTCAGTCTTCTTTCGATTTCAATCTTTCATCATATATTTTCGCATTATTCCACCTTAACCACTTTTATTTACTTTAGAACTTTAGGTCAAGGAGACATTTCCTGGACAAACTGTGGTAACCAATCTGTAAAATTCAATGTCACATGTTCCAAGAGTATATAACACTTGATGAAAGACTTTGATGAATGAATTAGCAACAAATTTATCCTAATATATTTACTCGAAATCTACGAGTTGATGACTTCGACAAATTAATAGCATATTCATGTTATTTCGTACTTCCTATGATAGTTCACCATCTTATGCTGTAACGCGTAACCCCTGGTGTATGCCTCTGTTTAATTCCAAAAGTTAATCATAATTTCTTCAACATTATGTAAGGAAAATTAAAGATTGCGGTCTCTGTGTTTTAGCCCTCAAATCGCGTGGTACCGTATGAGAAAAATTTGAAACGTCGCGCCATTTCGTTCAAGCATGAACTCCACACTCTTTCTTGCTGCCTCGCCGCTTCTTTCTCTTTCGGACTCCTGACCGCTTGCGTGCTCCGGAGCAAAAATCACAACCTCTCAAAGGCTACGCCATCTTGGAAGTCGTTGGCGGGCTGTTCTATCAGTTACTCGTTCTTTTTAAGAATAGTTACATGTTGTGCTAGTTTTAGATGATGTATTAAATATACGAAGCGCTACAAAATTGGCGTATATATTAACGTTAAAAGTTCAGTTATTACTGTGCATGAATACGAAGTAGCGAACGAGGCTCTGTGGAACGGCCTTCAGCAACTGAAAAGTTTGTTCCGTATTAACTGTTTACTGTTTATCCTTATTGGTGAAATTTAACTTTTTCATATCGGACGTAGTTATGCCTGTGTGGACTTCTGTTAGCAATAATGGTTACCTTGAACTTTTAACAAAACCAACATAGAGTTAATAAAAATAGCTTCTTTTTCATAAGATGTCAAAGCGTTCTCTGAATCATTAGCAATTCAAGTGAGAACTTTTTCTCAAGTAGAGTTGGAAACGTTACTTCTTTGTTCTACGTAACTTTTTAAATAACATCACTTTATCACACTAAGTGAACCGATGATAATGGTTATTTTTTTATATGATGCTCTATTATAAATTTGGCTTTCCTTAAAGGAGTAAAGGTTTTTCGTCAAATCTAGATATACTAATATTTAATCATGACCCCTCATTGAGTTTAGGTTAGTTATTGTTTCAATTGTTTTTTTGAAACTACCGGGGACGATACCCTACGTGTCTTGTAAAGGAAAGAAGATCCACGAAAATAGAGATTTGTCCAACTTTGAGTCCGCAGCTTCACCTTATATGTAATTTGCTGCAAAGACGTACTTTTGGTACAGTGAACATCATATAATATTGTATATCTGATACCATACTGCAAATCTATTAATTTGATTTGTATGACTCAAAATGATAAGCGGCAAATGGTCGTTCGGTGCATATCTGAACTTGAAAAAACCTTTAAAACATTATTTCCTCTATTTGAAAGCACCGTTTGATGTTCCGACCTCTTATTTTGCCAAAATCACCAAGGTTAAGACCTAATGGCGGACTTCGGACAAGTGACATTTTTAGCTACAATATAACGTATCCTAGATGTATTTTAAAGAGGTAGCTTGACTAGAAGCAGAACTTCCAGGTGTCAGATTCGTGAACACCAACTCATCATCCAGAAGTCTGAGTAAACTTCTGTCAAAAAAAACATTGCTATAGACAAAAGAACAACGATTGTAACGACTTTAATCAAATGCCACACATCGGAGTTATAACCGCTGTAACTCGGCTGAAATCAGCGTTGTTCTCATTACCCGATGATGTTAGCAAATTACAGATGGCGCCGAGTCGCCGCTCACTGAAGCGGGCTCCATCGCGACGCTCAACTAGGAGATCGATCGGGAAGACAGGAGTCCAACTTGCTCACGCGATCTTTTCAGAGGTGAGGAAAAAATAGTCGCTTCTATAACGGCTTTGAAGCACATTTGTTATTAGTTTCAGAATAATCTGTTTTCTTCAAAGTGAATTAGCGGCGTTTAGGTAGCATTCCCATTATAACGACAGTTGGTTTGAAATAATGATATCCCGTTAAATAGGGCATACAACTACTCAACGTTGAAATCGTTGCATTAAGTTTCGCTGTAGATTGTACCTTCCTTTTGTGTATGTCAGTTTTTAATGAATTGTATATACCCGGGCGTATTTGTTTGTTTGAAGAGCAGGATCTGGTGCCGACATCGGCAACTCGAATCGAGTTATCCAAAGGTCGTATGGCTGTTGCTGTACGGATTCGGCCATTATCCGCTTATGAAGAAGAGCATAGCCAACGCCGCGTTGTCAGCGCACTGGACGAAAGACAGTTCGTAAACATTTTGTATACACTCATTTTTAGCTGACTCGTTTACCACAGCCAGCTTTCTCAGCTGTCAGTTTATAGGTTGCCTAGATATTGGCAACGCCCACGGGCGTATACACATAGACGGCCATTTTCTTAATTTATAGGCTGTATTTTTAAAAATATATTTTAACATACTTGTATGGTTGGTAGGTTGATTTTCGACCCAAAAAGTAGCTACGAGGATTTAGAACGACAGCCTCGTGTGCAGGGTTCTAAGATCGTCTCTATGGCCGAAAAGAATGAACAGTTCGAATTCGATCGGGTCTTCGATGAGTCCAGCGATAACCTTAAGGTATGGGACTTTCGTATGTGATTTTAGTAACATTTAACAGTATAACCCCTTGAAGCTATGCCAGTTATGGTTTTCTAAACTACTTACGAAAATTACCTACCCTACTTTACTGTAAGGATTGTTGCAACAGTTTTCATTAACATTTCATTCATTAACAGATTCGGCTATTGCTACATTTTAGGTTTATGAAGATACAGTAGTACCTCTCCTAACGTCATTTCTTGACGGATACAACTGCTCCGTGTTTGCCTATGGAGCCACCGGGTCCGGTAAGTAAAATTTCAGTGAAGTTTAAGTACACTTTCTCTCTTACATAAATCTATGATGCAGAAATATCGACTTACTCTATAGACTAATCTTGTATAACTTATTAATAATTTTAGGAAAAACCCATACGATGATGGGCCAGGACACAAATCGGGGTATCGTATCACTAACGATGGAGCGGCTGTTTTCGCAGCTTGAAGGTCTTGAATCGGAGAACGTTATTGAAGTGCAAGCATCGTATTTTGAAATCTACAATGAAAATATCTTAGATCTACTTCGACCGGGTAAGTTTCGTTCTTTGCGTTTGAAGTTCCTGAACAGTAACAAGATATTTGAAATTCGAGAATATCTGAGATAATAACGAGAGTAAGGCATACTTTTAGTTCGCGAAATGTGAAATTTGAGGTTTATATTTCACCCCATATAGGATTTTGTGCATGCAGATTAACTTTACTTATCATTGACTGTGCTTACGTACTTCACCCAATAGATTTTTATAGCCTTGCCGTTTTCGAGAGTCCAATGGTCTACTGATTTTTGGTAGCTTAGTGAACGTTAAAAAATATTATTACATGTCAAATTTCAGGAAAAAGCGAGGCAAAACCATTGGAGATCCGCGAGGCAGGAAAAAACGTTTTTATCAGCGGTCTATCACATCATGCTGTCACGACAATGGAACAGATCTTGGAACTTATACAGGTGAATGAAGTTTCAGAACTACGACTGTACAACTTAGTAAGGATATTAAATATGTAATGCCTGGCACGGTTTATGGGTAGTGCGATAGTGCAACGCCTTTTTTACAAACTTCATTTTCTTGTGCAGGTTAATGTAAAGATAACGCAATGAAATTATGTTAGATAATGGCAAATGAATGCTTGGTACAAATAATACAAAAATCCTTCGTTCCTACTACTCATCAATCCGATTTTATTCAATTCCGCATTTTCTGATCGTTTTGTAAATATAGGAGGGAAGCAGACGAAGAAGCCAATCGGAAACTCAGGCTAACGCAAAATCATCCCGCTCACACGCTATATTTCAAATCAGTCTCAAGATCACAAATAAGTAAGTTGTCAACTTCTTGATTAACCGAAGTTAAGTAATATGTGCCACCACTAACAGCTATAACTTTCTAAACTGAGAGAAATTATTACCTAATGTTATATCATTGAATAAATCTTACATCGTTAAATTTGTTAGAACTGAGGTCTCAGGTTTCTATTTTCATTAAGAATTTTTTTGTGGTGGTTGTTTATTGATATGTCGTATAGAATCTTCCATTCTAACAAATGACAAACACCTCAATTCACAGAATAACGCGTACACTTCAGGAGAGTAAAATGTCTCTAATTGATCTAGCTGGCAGTGAACGGGCTGCAGGAGTGAACCGGAGCAGAGACCGTTTTAAGGTACACCTGAAGCAAACACATAGCAATCTATCTGCTTTAATTTAAACATATTGTAGCAATCATGAACCTAATATGGTGGAAGATGAGGTCATGTTGGAGTAAAAGAAAGTTGCTTGCCAACACATTTCCGAACCAAGTGTTGTTTTGTGGTTAAGTTCTCCAGACAAAAAATGAATCACGGTTTATCTTCTTTTCAACTTTTTTTCACAAGTATTTTGTCACATTTCAGGAGGGAACGAATATTAATAAAAGTCTTTTAGCATTGGGCAACTGTATCAACGCCCTTGCCGAAAACAAAAAGGCGCACGTGCCCTACAGGTAATCTTCCAGAGTGTTTGGAACTTATATATAAGAAATGCATAGTGTTAAATATATATAGCGATATTGCCGTAAATTGTAGAAAATTACTTTTTGAACTGACAGCCCACGTTTTGTACCATAGCGAACCTACTTTTGTAGTCAAAATTCTAATGTTTTCCTAAAACGAGCCGCATGGAAATTTTCTCTACGTTGCTCAGGTCTAGTTCTTATTTTTTCTCGCATTCATGTATGTCTTATTTTTTGCTACTTCGTGGGGGTTTTTTGCACTTGATGTTGATATTTGTGCTGGTAATGTTATACAGAGACTCAAAACTGACCCGAATCTTAAAGGATTCGCTGGGTGGCACTGCCGTTACCTTGATGATTGCTGCAATCAGCCCATCAAACGTAAGTTTACTTTTCTTGATTTTTGTAAGTTTTAATCATTTCTTATAAGTAGCGGCTCATTGTGGTGTGGAATATATTCAGTCTTTGTATTTTCTAATTCGTTAACGGACGTAGTAAAAATATAAGAAAATATGTAATATAAAAAAAAAGTCGTAGTGTTTTAAAACTTGCTGGTTATTATCAAAGGGACTCATTCTTTGTGACTAATTATCTGTTGGATAACTGCAGTACATGTGGTGACCATCACTATTAATCGGTAATAGTAAATAATGCTAATAATAAATCGCTATCCGCATCTGTGTTTTTGTATCTAGGCTTCGTATGAGACGACGCATAAGACATTGTTGTACGCGCAGAGAGCTCGCAAGATTCAGACGACGGTAACGAAAAATCAGAACAAAGTTGCACTTGGTGAGTATCCCTTTGGACTTAGATTATGTATTTATTACACAGGCAGCTTGAACTATCCATAGGGTTCTTATGAAGAGCTTTCATATCTTTTAGCAATAGAGAAAATCCAGTGCGTGTACAAAACCCTTTTATTAAGGAATATTTGAGTTATCGCAAGCTTTGTTAGTCTAGGAGTAGTAGAGGTCTTTTTTTTTATAAGAATGGTTAATAACTGCATCTACAACATAGGTATGTTTAAAGGAGGTGAAAAAGAGTCGAATTATGGTTATCAAAAGGCTACATCCATTCAGCGTTAAAGGTCTTTGGCATCTAACCATCCCATAGTTTAGATCTTAGCGTACTCATACGAGAAGTTCATTGCTGAGCCTTTTGCATTTATGGGCATCGTTTCCGATTATTAAACCTGCTTGCTAACCTCATTTCTTAAATTCAAACGCAAGATGTTTGTGTGGATTGTTTACGTGCGAATTTTCAGGCGGTGTTACTAATTATATGACGCTGGTGAACACGCTTAGTGCTCAACTGCAAACAGCTCAAACGCAAAACGCACAATTGCGTAAGCAGCTTCAGGTAAGTTGAAAAAAAATAGATTAATTCCTTTAATCTGATTTTTTTTCTACAGTTCTTACGGAAAATGTCGATGAAAGGCCCTTTAACATAACAGATTGGTATGCTATTATAATGTATAATGTATTTGGTTTATGGCATTCGTAAACGATTTCGTAGACAGTTTTTTTTTAATACGAGTATGTACTAAGAAAATTAGATGATGCGTTCACTATTACGATTTTAGACGGAGCAGAGCAATTCGGCTAAACTTCAAGCTAAAGTCGAAGACTTGCAAGTGGAATTGAACAGTAAGTACACCTTATTCAAACAAATAGATACCGCACAAGAAACGAGCCAAAATGTAATGCTTCTATTGGTGTTATCCAGTGGTTTGTAAAGAAATCAACACCACCAACATAGAAAGAAACAATTGTATTAACTGACGAATCATCACTTAATTATCGCGTTAGAAATAGTAACCTTTATCTCCTTGATTCCGCTGTAGCTGCAAGGAGTAATAATTCGATAGGTGAGAGTTCGCCTCACGCTAAGATTGGGCCATCAGTGCTTGAAATCGCTGATAGATATACAGAAGAGCTATTCCGCCAGGTAATCAGAGCACGAAACCGAGAAATTGAGGCTATTTCCGCAGTGAAACAGGTACACAAATCGGTAAATCACTGCCGTTTCAGTTTTTTGTATAGCACAGTATTTCCTGCTTATAGTCTATACCTTTCCTTCTAACTATACATAAATACTGCTTATTAGGCGAAGCTCTACGAGGAACAGTGTTATGTACAATGCCGGCCATGGGTACCATTACGACTTCGTCGAAATGGCTATCTTTAGCATTCGTGTACATTTTGAACTCTTATAAAGCGGCCGAACGTATACACGTAATTTAACTGGACAGTCTTGTTTAGGAACAAACTAATCCAATATGCAATCAGACTCACCTATTCCTTGAGGTTCTTACTCGATCGTACCTGGAAATTTCTTATCTTTGATCATGTGGTATAGGCGCAATTTGCTCGCTCATTAGGTTTGCCATCAGAGAGCATTGATGTACTTCTGCAGAATTCCCAAGCAATGAGCCAGAAAAAACTTGACATGGATCGCATGATTGCTGAAGCACGAACAAAGGTAAAAAAAAAACTATAATATTAAATCAAAAAAGAATTGTCTAATTATATGTATAGTGAATGTTCGAATTCTAATATTAGCTATGGACATTGTTTTTTCAGTGAATTTTCGACGTTTTAATTTTCTGAGAAAATCTTTGGGCAAAAAGTTAGGGAAAATTTATTTTTGTACGTAGGACCACACGCGTTTCAAATGCATCTTCAAAATCCTAATTCGTCTGTAAAATTTGCACAGGTATCAACTAACGCTATGTCACCGTTGGACAGTCGATATCTTCATGATACAACTCAAAGAGAGATGCAGGTTGGTCTTTCAGTTCAATAATACTTAATAACACGTACTTTTTTCGTAATCATGCACACATGTAGCAATATAGATTAGAGTCATTATTACAACTAAAATGTTGCATATTGCGCTTTAGGAAACACAACAGCTAGCCGCACGTCTCATTCAAATGGCCCTGAAGGGAGGAGCTCAGCTCGAGGTAAGATTTTTAATTTCATTAAGGATCTATCTTTTGAATTAAGATTTCATTGAATCGAGCACAGTTCTTGTGAAAAGAGAACTCCGACATTCAATTATTATAGACAAACTATACTTTCCGAATACTGAATTGTTAAAAACAAATGAAAAATATCGCTGAATGTATAACTCGGCAATTTTCGCATAATGTGAAATGTGAAGTTATATGATGTAAAGTAGAATATGCTTAAATTGTTTATCTATTACAAAGCGTAAAACTACATTACTTTTTCTTTTACAGATACCTTTGACACGGTTCCTTGCCCTTGACAATACCGAAGCGCTATCCATCCCACTATCAGCACTAGCATCAAATTCTGAGTCTTCATCTATGGATATCCAGCAGCCATGCACACCCGCACGAAATGCTACCGAGTGTCCTTTAAACCAGACTTTTAGTAAATTTGCAACTCCTCCGATTCCAGCGCCTCGTTCTGCTATCAAAAACAATACAATCACCAAGCAAACAAGTGCGAGTAACGTTCTGGGTTTCGACAGGGACGTCCAGGCAGTCCAAGGTAACTGAAAGTTTTTTCTACCACCTACGTGAACTCTCCAAATTGGTCTCTTACTTTGTTTCTGACGACCAATAGTATTTTTCCTGCTGGAAGGTTCGTTTATGCGAAAACAGCAGTTTGCTTATCGAGTATGGGAACATTGGGAAGAGTGACTTCTATATGATAAGCTAGCGAAGTTAACTGAAACAATTTTTTGAAACACATTAGAAACAGTTGACTTGAAATTTTAATACTACCCAAGTTTCATATTTGTGAAAATGTGCACTGATCATAAATTTAATACTAGATAAGAGATAATAATAGATTTTCTTTTTCATTGACTAAATTTTAAAATTTTTTTAAAGTTAGATGGAACAGTTAAGATTTTTTGCATTTTATCGAACCTTTATTGTACGATGAAGAAGAAAAGTAACCACTTGTCTGGTTGTTCTAAAGCACATCTCCAATGCCAAACAAAATATCGTCTTATAAAAGTGATTACATAATGTGTCAAGATCACTCTGGAGACCGTGTAAGCCAATGTTATTTCGAACTTATCTGAAACAATATATGACAAAACAAAATAAAAAAAATAACACAAAAAAAGAGAAAAATTAGATGAATTAGGTTGCCTTTGAGTACAACTCATTATAGTGACCGCGTACGCGTGTACATATCATACTAAACTAAGTATCGTATTCTCATGCTTAAGTGCCACACTATTTTTTCAGTTGAATCGAGGAGAAGTATGGACGTCGGTATTCCTATAGGGCATCGTGAGCAAAAAATACTAGTGCCGATATAACCCAAATAATATACATTACTGATTAACGAAATAATGAATGAAGCGTAGAAATCGCTTAAGATTCTCAATCCGTTAAAAATCTCAATCTTATTTCTCAAGTCCCTACTTATTGCTGCTTTAAGTTTACTCGGTGATTTTATTTACCAACACGGTGAAATAATCGTGTTCTCATAGACCATCGTCGAAAGTACGCAATGTCGTCGACATATGTATTATGTTCCAAAACTAGACTAACGCTGCGCACAGCGCTAGGTGTTATGCAGACACGCACTTAAAACGGTCTTGTAGGCCTCGTCGTCGTTGCGTGCGCAGCAGCAACCGAGGTCACACCTCATACCTCGCTCTGTGGAAGCTGCTATTGTGTATGAGCAAGGCTTCGTTCCTAATACAGCTCGAAATTGCGGAAAAAGCTGCCGCTGTTCATATTAGGAACGAGCACTCGTGAGCATACGTCGCTTCGCATCGTGTCTTTGAAGCATGTCAAGAGGCAATATTAGTAGCATATCCCACCCACAAGGATCATGCAGGATTTTTCCAGGCCAAGTCAATTACATATGATAGATTGACATCGCGACAAGCGTATAGGAAGAACTGGATTATGGCGTTTTTAGCACGGAACGATCCACTAGCCTTGCTGCAACCTGAAAAGATATCCCCTAGACGCGCAATAAGCTTTAATAAGGAAGCGGTCAAAACTTTATAATAATATAAAGTTTTGTATAATATAAAGTCTCAATAACTTATGAATTTATATAATTTTACTCTCCCAAATACATTTAACCTAGACGAGGCTTCCTTTTTCACGGTATTGGACGCTTTGAAAGTAATTTCGCTAAAAAAGCAACCATCACAGGCGCTTAAATGAGAGAAAATTATTATAACAATGCTCGCCTTCGTGCGTGCAAGTCTCGTCATCTTTCATGTCTCCTATTTCAACTAACAAACAGTCGGTGGGCAATCAATTGAAGCCATCTAGAAATTTCACCCATTGTCGAACTTGACCAAAAAAGGCTGAGACGCGTAGTAAAATGACTGTTCATCACAACGTAGCTGAAGATTAACCACTACGCTTCAAATTTCCGAGAAAATATGCGCCCGTTTTATAGAGACACATAAATGATTGAGACTATACAGCAATTAATCTCATCTATTTACTGATGATGGCGTTGTTGTGATCATTGGTTACTTTGAAGTGCATTTGATTTTGGTGGTTTTATGACTATAGATAAGCTCGTAGTGGAATTACTAAAAGAAAAAAAAAGTAAGAGCAGCGGATTTTCAGGTTCCTACAAGACAAGAATGCAAAGAGAAATTGCTGAGTGAGTCGGAATATTGAAATATACAGTTGTCAATGTAGATCAGAAGGTACTAGAGTAAGGTGCATCGGTCATCAAGAAAAACAGGGAACAAAGATTGAAAACGGTGCACAACGCAGCAAGGACCCAGGATTATTCTAGACGAGTCACAAAAAGACCAATTTATAGTGGTCTGTCAAAATGGCAAAACGCGGAGTCAGTAGGTCCATAGAGACCCTCTGATATTGTATTAAAATAAGTAGTTTTAACTGCCATACACTCGAAAAAATGTCGTATAAACTCTCTTCACATGAATCAGACAATTCCATTAGGTAGTTGACGACTGGAAAAAGGTTTGTTTTTCAGATGAATCTTATTTCCAAGGTTTTAGCGAGTAATGCTCAATATGTTTATAATTGTGCCAGCCTGAGTAAATTGGAGGGTTAAACATCGGAACAAATAAGTCGTGTAGGCCGTTGTTTCCATTCACGAACTCGTGCAGGCCGTTGTTTCCATTCACGAACTCGTGTAGGCGGTTATTTCCATTCACGAACTCGTGCAGGCCGTTATTTCCATTCACGATGCAAGACTTTTGTATTATTACCGGATTATGAAAATATGCCAACACGGTGGGATAATTCAGATGAAATATCTGCCCCAGGTACCAGAATGGTCCCCGGATGGGACCAGAGTGGTTTCCGGTTGAAGACTTATAATGTCATATAACGAAGCGTGTTATGCCATGCCTAAAAATTGATCCGACTTGGATCCGATAGAAAACCTGCGGCATTAGATCATATTTGCTATCATAAAAAAGCAGAGAGAGGTTTTACATAAAAGAAACTGAATACAGACAATCATGCAGACATTTAGTATAGGTGCGGAGCTACGTTTTATCAAATTCAATATTCAGTGCAAATGTTATAAGCCTTCTTTGATTGGCTATTGATCGTATGCTAATGGGTGTGTAGGCTGAAAGCCAAATTAAAGCATGCCTGTTCGGATAGATTACAATGTGTTCGAAAACTATTAAGCATTTCTCGTGACCATTTTCCATAGAGAGGCTACGCCTGTCAATCATGGATCATCACGACTCATACAGACCTAAGATTGATCAAGGTTGCTTTGGGAAATGGCGTGTACTCTTTCTATGGCGCTCTACTTCGCACAGCATGGCGGAACTTTAGAATTTTATTACTACTTTCGATAGAAGAATCTGAATCTATAGCACAGCCCGATAGACGAGGTGCGTAAGAGGTATCATTAAATATGGCAAATACCGTCAGAAAATTTCAGAGGACAATTATCTCTCCGTAGAACTAAATAATATTTACAGAAGTGCCACAAAATGATCATCAGTCAGGGCCGTCAGAGTATCGCGAACTATAAATCCAATAAGGCAGACGTTTATTTTCGAAAATGAACTGCTCGTTGCGGGCATCTCCGATGTGGACTACCGTCCTATCGTACCGTATCGTGTCGAATAGGCAGAGTCAATGGATTATCAGTTATTCTCACAGAGGACAAAAGCATTAGTAGTTTCGCTTAGGTTCGTTCGCTTCTGCTGTTCGACAGAATCAATCACATCCGACTTGAGTAAATTTACTGCTTATTTGTATACGAATACCTGCTTCCCTTAAAAGAAATTTAATAAGTATTTAGGTAACGTAGACTTATTTAAAATAAGTCTACGTTACCTAAATACTAAATACCACTTATTAATAAGTGGTATTTGACCGTGCCAATCTCTTGAATTGGATTTTTAGCAAAAACCCAGTAGGGGCCTATATTATAGACCCACTATGCAGGGCCACATGAGCTAACGACAGAGGCATTGTTTTCGAAAGAAACTAACGATTTATTGCTTACTTGTTTTAGGCTGCAAAATAAGAGCCCCTGAAGAATACATTGACGTGTCATTTTTTTTTCACACGGCAGCGGTTTTTCTCAACGGCCGCGTTCAGTTAATTTAGGCCTACTAAATTTATTCTATATAGACCTACATAGAAAGTAAAATGGACAATAGTAACCCGACAATATTTACAGCACAAAAAGTAACATAGCGATATGTTTATTAAATTACCGAACGGACTTCGTCATTACAATTTGTATTGAACCTAGCTATATAGTGTACCAATTAGATCATTTTACATCGCAATAAGACCCAGTTTTGAATGAGTTCTTAGATCTGGGCGTTTGTTTGCGTCTGTGATATGCACACGATTTAGAAATCATAGCGTGTACTGTAAACATCAGAAATACTAACTATTCTGTTAAATATCTCTGCTCTCGATGGTAGGTTCGGCCCGACTACCACCAGTAAGCCTTGCTACCAAGGTCCGTCGCGTTCTAGTCCGCTCGCAGAGCACCCGAACGTTTGGCGATAACAACACCAATAACAACCAGAACAGCATGCGGGCATTTTTGCACCATCAACCACCGAAAGCCAACTTCATTAAAAAACCCACCTGGAAATGAGGAGTCAAACGCGGTATGGTCTGCTAGTAAAAAAAATTTATTTACAACCCATGGAATCTACGATACGGGATGGTAGCGATATATTTATGTATATAGCTATGCCACACATGTTTAGTTACCAAGAGTTTTTCTACGGCTGAGAAATTTGTTAAATTCGTTTATCTTTGAAGCAATTGACTTGGTGGAAATCCATTCAGAAATACCTTTAACTACCGGACGTTTTAGAACATAAGTTCTAAAAAAAAGGACCAAGCCGTCATGATACAAGTCTCAAAAGTTAAGAAAAAAAAAATGACCGCTTTGATCGTAGCGTCGCACTGTACTAACGACTTCTACTATGACAGAACGCTCTTGGAGTAGCTGCAATTGAATCATGCTAGGAACGGGAGAAAAGAATGCACGCTGGTCCACAGATTACTATAGTAACAAGTGTGATATGGACCGGTAACTCAAAAGTTAACTACCGACAAAACGTATTTCACTTATACGTAAGAACAAAGACAGCACACTCAAGAACGTATCTACGCGCACAACAGCATGCGGCCGCAACATACGCTTGATTGTATATACACAATAGAAATTATTAACTGTTGCAGATCACAATGTAGCTATCTGTGCTGTTCTGTATATACACCCCCTGCTGCCTATATTTTCATAAAAACAAAAAAGTCTATACACAAAGAGGTGAATGCCTACGAAGTGCGTTCTGATTAACACACTTCGCATTTTGTATTCATTACAAGTGAAGCACAATCATGCTATAAGCATCAATGCAGGCATATCCCGTCTGTAAGTGAATTCGATTTAATTAAAAAATTTAGTTTGGCAGTATTAAAGCAGCGGCTGTTCAGAATAAGATCGTGCCTAACCTGAGCTATTTCCCAGGGCAGTTCTATTATATGTCTAACCCTTCGCTTCCATTATGCGCCAGAAATAGCTAAGTCTATTGAACTGACTTCTGTGATAGACGAGACATGAATCCTTCGAAGTTTACCGCCAAACGTTAATCAACTATAAAGATTATGATAAAAGTTCTGTTATAAATCCCCAATCAAAGTGCTATGAATAGAAAAAATGGTAACGTGATGTCACTGCAAATTTCACGAACGGTAATACGTCTGCCCGTCAAAGACAACATACCAGTGCCGAAAATAGTTGTCATCATGTATTGTCACTATAAAAATTCGCATTTTTACAAATGCATTTCTATCTACAATATTTTTGTTCTGCTTAATAAATAATGAAGCAATGCAGGTTATCAATGTCCTATTCTATAACCAGGTTTTCTCACGTTTTATCGTAGTGTCTTTTCGTAGACCTATTTCGTAGCCAAGTGCCGGGAAACAACAAGCAATGGGATACGTAGTAGTATATAATAGTAAATATGAAATTTATTTTGTTGTGTGAACGATATTGTGTGTTGTTAGGTCGAGAAAAGTAGATATCTACAATAATCCATTGGACGTTTTAACTAAAATGCAAGGCAAAAGTTTGCTATACATTTTACTCAGGTGCTGTCTCGTATGCACATTGTGATCGAATAGTATGAGTTATGGCTGATCAGTAAGTATAACAACAATCAATTTTTCTGTGTACACAAATAAAGCCACTAGCTATAAGAATGATTATTAACAGAAATATTTGGAAATTGTAGTTAATCATTCTAAAGGGTCGAATGTATCTTCGTTCGTGTGAATTATTTTCGAAACTTCGAATCCTGTAAACTTTATGTCACTTAAATTCATTATCTTCGTATTCATCATAGATACGTCTTTTAGTAACGGTCAGCCTTTTGGATCCTTAAGAAGACCCTGAGGATCCTAAAGAAGCATTTAGTAAAGTTGATGTAGACAAATGTTTAAAACATTTGTATACACTAGTGTTCAGAATCGCACACAAAAGGGAATTAGGATTTTTTTGTATGTGATTCTGAATAACAGCTATTCGAAATGTATTATGAAGAAGGACATTTCTATTTTTGAAATAATTATGCTGCCTATATATCGATAGACTGTCGTAAAATATTACCTTCAGACTAACGCGTACGGGAAGCGAGGTACCACGAGTGCCACGAAAAGTAACGAGTTTAATGATCAAACAGGCGATGATATGTTATAGCGGGCTTACTCATGTCACAATTCGATATTGCAACGATATGTAATAATTACAGTGTTATTTTTGTGTATCCTACAAGACATGAGTGTGTATTACTACGTCCATCTTACATAGTTTATTTGTTATTGAAAATACATCTCAAATGATCCGAAGTGCGATGGATGATAGATAGTCTACTGATATTTTACGCTTCTCCTTTGGCAAAATATTGAACGCTCTTACTTTTCCAATTTTGAGCAGTTTGACTAAGCTGAGAAAACACATTGAAGCCACTTAGTGAGCAGAAAATATGCTTGTGTGCATGCTGTCTGTTACAATAAATCGCTAGATCACAGATTGAATAACGTACTTCGAACGTTAGAGGTATAGCCGTTGTCTACTGAGAGGGTGTAGCCCATCCGTGTTGACAAACGGTGGTAGCTAACAGAAATTGTAATCGATCGAACTCCTCTCCAAACCAAAGTGTAATTAACAATGAACACACCTAAAAACATGATGAATAGCCAAACAACATTTTTCCGGTGTGCATGTACGTTCTGTGCTATACATAAGTCAATAGTGACATTATCGCCTGTGTGAATCCTCATACTTGAATTTTCTCCCATGTACTACGTGCAACAATGCACAAAACTGTACGCACAGCACTGCTTCAAAACGCTAATAAACTTGTATCAGATTTTACTCACAAAAATTTCTTTTTCAATTGAATAAGAAATAAAAATCTCGTTGGATTTTGGTCTTAGTCATACCGAATATAAAATTTAAATTTTATTAAATGTTATTTCGGAGTACTACAGGATAAGAAAAATGCGGTTCGATTTCGTAGTGTTTTCTTTTTGTTTTTTTTTTAAATAATGGTTAGTCTAAAAGGCACCCTTTGACAAGTTCAAACTTTTAATTTGTTCGATCTGCTGCAAAGCTCGACGTAATCTAACTATTCAAATCTAATTATTCGATCTGAGAACTCCGAATACAGCGCAGTGTTTTAGCTAATAATCATACTAGCGAGTGACATACGCAAACACGGTAGCATGATTTTGCAAAAAAAACTATGCATAAAAGCGGAAGGTAATCCCATAGTAACGACAAGAACGAACATGTATAGGATCGCAACGTTCGCTCTGCGGAGCCCCGACTCGAGTTACACGGAGTGACATACCAAGCTTTAGGCCCATAGACCTGATGTTATTAAAAATGTACATTATTATTTACTTTTTTATTATTATATTACATTATTATTATTACATTCGAATTCTCGCTTTCTCACCCCCTATTTCCTTAATCTAGTCCTATTCTCGTCAATATGCGAAAATAAACTATAAACTGTGAAGCAATTATAGCTTTCGCGTTAGGTGATGTTTTTCTAAAGAACATCGTTCACCAAGGTGCTCAAAAGCGTCAATGCTATCGCAATCAAATGTTCTTCTTAGCCAGATTTACTGCTCGGCGTTCTTTTGTACAAGTCCAATACAGGGTGCTGACTTCATGTTTATACCGTAGCGAGCTGGCGCCAAAACAGTTTCGAATTTTTATCACTGAGGGCGCCAGTTGTTCCTTTGTTCCTATTCGCAAACAGAGCAGACTTGGCGGTGGCTATGGACGCCGGCGATTTTTAAAGTAAAAGTCAGTCGTGTATTATTTTTGACGAAATTAATCGAGATTGTGAAAGTCTGCGTGCGCAGTGCATTGTGCATTAACGTAAGGTTAACCGCAAGAGATAAAACTAAGTCCGTGTTGTTCTATGCCGACGCGAAAACGAAACAACTTCGCAGACTATTCTTAGGCTATCCTTTCTGAAAGCAATTGAATTTGTCGAGTGGCCCGGCTCTGTGGGTGTTTGTCGTGGAAGCGCGCGAATCCAGTTTTGAACCAGTACTCCAGAAGCTTCAAGTCCTTATTTCTGTGATGTTCCTAACGTCGGTGAGTTATCCAACGGGATAAATGACTAGAAAACTGTCATTGTCAGGTTAGGAAACAACTGGCGATATTTTAAGATTGTTCGAATACAGGTCTCAAATAGCTAATGAAAAACTTTCTTATCAACGAAATGACGATCATTCCGTGTCCGGTGAACCGCTCACTACAAACTCTCCAATCTACTGAATATCACCAGCTAGTCAGCGAGTATTTTGTTAGCTATGCATAGTTCTAGCTAGTGAGGTATACAAAAAATGCATAGAAATTACCTAATAAAGTTTCAGAGAACAATTGGCACCCCGAATCGGACTTAAAGGAGCTCTTTTTCGTACGATTTCAGATGTTCGAAGTACGATATGCATAGACTTCAACTTACCTAATCTATTTCACTTTAGATTTGAAATTCGTGTGTACAATTGAAGTTTCTTTCATAACTTAATTTCCCCATGAGAAGAGCAACCGCTAGTGAGTACATTGTATATCTAATTTCACTACTATCGAACAGTTCATGTGATACACAGTGTGAACTTTCTACTAGCGTCTGGCAGCTCTGGCAGCAGCTTAAGTTCAGGGATGTATGGCCCTGGCCCACACAGGTGGCTTTCTTGGCCTGCCGGTCAACCGGCTGACAAATCTGTTTGCATTAACTGCTCTGCATGCGACAGACGGAGAAAAGCCTGAACTGTGAACAAAATGTGCCTGGAAGCCTCAGGCAAGCTGATTATATATATATGCAGTGTATGAGGATATCTCCTCGTTAGAGATGCAGCCTAAGAACCCGCCGCTGTTCTGAACGCTTTTTGCCAGGTGTGCCTTCGGGGCCCGAAGGAAATCGACAAGAGTGCCTTGAGTAGACAGCGGAGAATTCGAAACACTATGATGTGATTATACTCTCCAGAATATATTCCGGCTACATAGTCGCGAAGAAAACAGGATAACGCTTAAACAAATTAACGGGTATATATATATATATATATATATATATATATATATGCACAAGTATATTACGAAACACATCTGTCTGTACTCGAATTTTATGGTGTTTTGTTTGCTCTAACAGTAACTTGCTGATTAAACAATATAGCATCGAAACAGTTAGCACCGGGTGTATAGGAGTAGTTCGTCGGCTAAAAGCTGTTTTCGTTACCCTGGTGGGTCATTACTATACAAGGAACAGTTGGCGCGTGTTAATGCTGGCGCTATTTGCAATTGCATCTAATAAACTTTTCATTAAATATGTGGCGGATATATAGATAATTTTAATTGCTATAATAGATAGAAGGACCAGTTATCGATTCGAATAATAGTCTAAATATAGCAAACAGGCTTGCTGTGTCTTTCACGAGACTCCTTGCAGTATATTTTGCAATATCTTCAATTGCATGCTGGCTGAAGCTCAAACACTGCATCGAGCCCCCTAGTTAGACAGGAAACAGTGAGACACCTCGTAAATGTATCGAAAGGGCTATGATGCGCACACTTCTACGAGATCAAATACCCCCGAGTCATCCGGTGGTTTGTACAAATTAATGGCACCTAATTATAAGTTGTGTTGATTGCCCGATAAAGTTTTTATACACAGATTTTTAAAATAAGTTTACACAAAATAATATCCCATACTATGTGATTTCTCTCCAGTAGCAAACGAAAGGTAATTGTATGAACGGTATTTTTTCTAAATTAAGTAATTGATCTAGCCGCTTTATCTTGTTTGTTTGATGTATCGTTTGGTGTCCTGTGAGCTTACGCTGAGTATGGAATCGAACGACTGTTGGAATCGACGAGCAGTCCATTGGAATAGTAAACGTCTTCATGTTTTAATTGAGGTACCTTTCTGAGATTTCAAGTATCGGGTTGAGTACTGCAAGTTGATCATACAAAGACGAATTTTCTCTACGAGACAGCTTCGTTGTTTCTATGAATTTACCTACTGTTATTTGTTTCTAAATAGAGAAAAGCTACACGACTCGACATCGCTAAACGGGGGAAGGTGGTTAAACATGCTAGGTTTAGGCGTACGCAGGTGTCATCAGTAGACATCGTTACGATAACCTGCAAATTGATGATGCGGTTTACAAACCCTTGTGAGGGCTTTTTCTTTGTGTGTAAAATTCTGCCTATATAGGTAGACTAGCTGTACAGATTTAGAATTCTAATTTCTGTGTATATTTGCCCTGAAAGATGTGGCACAAGCGACTGTGGCGCCTCGAATTTCTTAAACGTCTA